ACTGAATGGGCAAGAAGATGCAATGCTATTAGTTGTTGCAATGAAGATAGTTCCACTGGCACTGAGAATGTGTAGAGGTAGAAGCTCTTGGCAGAGCTTGGTATCTCGTTAGAGGCAAGCCCTGCAAAAACCCAAGCCAGTAGCAGGAGAGAAATGGCAAGAAACCATTAACCGTAGTCCCAGATTGTACCACCAGGAGTAATGTAGAGTAATAGAATGCATGCCATTGAAATTACTTTTATTGTCATCATTAATGGTGGTGGAGTAATTTCTGTCACATGTACTTGAAGGAGTCTGATTTCCTGTTAGAACACAATTTATGGGGATGATTTTTGTCCCTAGAAGAAACCTGGTTTTCCTCTCTTTTCCTGTTGCACGAGGTATCTCCTTGCCTCTAGAGCATGAAACATGTCTGCCTATTTCTGTTGTTTTGTTTGTATCTAGGCCAGACAGGTCATCCTTCAGAGCTCTGTTACCATTTCACAAATGCCCATCTGGTAGTCACCTGGCAAGTTGCTAGGCAAGCTACTGCTTGCCTTAGGTTATGCTACTATGCATTAGTAAAATCATAGAATGGTTTGGGTTGGAAGGGACCTTAAAGATCATTCAGTCCAACCCCCCCTGCCATGGGCAGGGACACCTCCCACCAGACCAGGTTGCCCAAAGCCCCATCCAAGCTGGCCTTGAACACTTCCAGGGAGGGGGCATCCACAGCTTCCCTGGGCAACCTGTTCCGGTGTCTTACCAAGTTGATTGCAGTCCTCTGTTGTAGGCTTTATGTAGCTCGACCACTAATGCTTGCATGAGAAGGAATATCAGACTGCTAGACAGGGCACCAGGGACCTCGGCTTACTCTCAGCTCTCCAGTAAGCTGAGCATATTACAGTGTGAGCTTGCAGGACTCAAGTCGTTCTGCATTAGTTGTCTACGTGTTGGCTCTCAGCCTGTGGCAGATGTGAGACAGGTTTAGCTCTGTGTCCTGTATTTGCACCTGGGAGGCACGAGAAGAATTTTGGCAAATTGTGGGGGATAGTGGCAGAACTTGGTGAGAGCCCATAATGTTTGAAGAACATGAGTGGATATAATCTCCCAAAATACTGGATGGATGGAGTTAAGAGATTACCCTGTCATTACTGGCTGTCTACCCAGTGAGGTTTTCTGGAGTGATCTTAGCTTGCCCTGTTGCCTTTTGTTGTAGTGCTTTTACCAGAATCTGCCAAATAGAGAAGTAGATCCATTTATTTCATTGCAAGCCAAAGATGGAAATACCACCTGGATGCATGTAGGGGCCATCTTCTACCTTTAGTCCAGGGAAAAGGTTGAATGTCCTTTCTTAGCTTTGAGTGGATTTAACAAATAAGTCCTATCTACTTCAGGTTAGGATTTGTGTTTTCATCTCCTCTTGAGCAAAAGGCTTGTGATCTTCAGCTTACAGTGTTGCTACTTCTGCATGGCCATCTGTCTGACTCACAGGAACTACTGAATATTTACCGTGGGATTCAGCAACCACAGTTCAGCACACTGCTAACAAAGCTCTATGAGGAGATGAGAGTCCTCTTAAAATTCCCAGCAGAGCAGGGGCCATTCCACAGTCCCCAGGAGCCAGATAAAATGTAGCTGTTCATTGTGGTTCCTTACTTGCTGAAACCAACTTGACTTGTCTCTGGCTTTCCAAGATTACGTTTAATATGTAGGAGACACATACACCTGGGCAGGCTGGTTTATGAAATATGCTTCATCTGTTCCTCTTCTCTTTTCAGAGGTGTCCAGCCCTTTAAAAGACCAAGTCAACTCTGCTTCTAGGTTAGTGTGTCACATAGTCTGTTTCCCTCCGTTAGGCTTTTCATAGCTGAACTTCCAACTGCACATCAAGATCTCTGCTGGGAGATGTTGCACTTTTGCCAAGCTGTAAAGAGTGAGGGAGAGGAAATTTGTTAAAGGCACAGTTTTTTTGCAGTTTGTTTTTAAAGCATTTTGTTCCTCTATGTCAAAACAGTTTAGTTTAAAATAGTTTTGCAAGTGGCTAATATGAAACATTTAAATTAGTGATTTTCAGTTTGAGAAAATGGAAATGTCTGCACTGATTTGGGAATTCATGAAAACCATGGATTTCTCCAGTTGCATGGAATTGTAAAGTTCTCAAGCTTTCCCCCATACACTTAAGAATTTAAACATCTGGTTTTTACCAGTTTGTGACTATTGCACACATTCACCGTTTCAAGTAAACATGATCAAGTTTAGCTGTGCTTCTGCTCTTGTCCGCAGCACTGCTGTTTGTCAACAGTGCTTATATCTAGGCTACATCCTAACAATATTTCTGTCAGTCCATTCTGGAAATTTCTGGCTCTTGACCCTTGCTGCTTCAGCATTTTGATAAATTGCCCTGGGGCAGTACAAGAGCTCACAGCATGTCAGATGTTGTTCCTTGCCCATTCCACTACTGGGATAGTATTGCTAGCTTCCTGAACTGATTTCAACCCACATTGTCCTGAAGGGTGAAAAAAAGGGTTAGAGGCAGCAGTATGTCACGGCAGACTGCGGTTAAGGAGAGAGGTTGATTGCTACACATTGCCTGCTGTGTTAATTAAAAACATAATGTTTAGGGCTCTCTGGGTTACTGACAGATATGACTTTGTAACATAGGCTGCAACAGAACCTTAGAGGACAAAACTCACCTTTGACTATATCTTGTCACTGACAAGTTAACCATTAGAAAAATTTCTTGTGTATTAGATATAGTGACGGAGATGATTCTGACTTGTGTTATATTTTCTTACTGTTTTATTTTATACTTAGCTTATTTTATGTCCCAGGCATGGATGGACTGGTATGTTTTATTTTCACAGTATATACCCATTGTCTTATATAGCATTTGAATGAAGTTTAGCTTCTAAATGTCACCACTGGTATGAAAATCTTCAGCTTAAGTGTTCATGCTTTTTTTTGTGATATGAGTTCATAATTCTGTTTAACACTTTTGACAAAAGTGGTGGTGTCTGCTTTGAATGGAAGAAGTTAGGGAATTCAGAGGTGAGAATGGAAGGCTGACACTGACTTCCTAACATTCAGCTCCTGTAAACTCACTTAACAGATGGTTACTGTTTTTTCTCTTTGTGGTTGGTTTCCCTTGTCCTTGTAAACCAAAAGGATAATTTTAATGTTGCATTTAAAGTTAACAGTTCTTTAGGATTACTCCAGGTATCAGAATTAAGAATTCCCAAAGCAGGACTAACCCAAATATACTCAGTTAAAATTCAACCTATGTAAAATTGTACTGTTTGGTTTAAGAAACTTGTATGATTGCACAACTTTTTGATTTGGCAGTATTTCTGGACAGAAATAATACTAATTTTTAATCTTTCTTGTAAACTAGGCAAATGGTGGCTCGAAGTTTGCTGGACACTTTGAAGGAAGTCAGTGATGATGAGAGAGATTGTATTGCTGTGTTGGAGAGAATCAGCAGATTAGCTGATGATTCAGGTAGGTAGCATTAAACATTTTACTGGGTTAATGAGGAAGAGTCAGAATTGCTGAACCTGTGTTCAGCACAGGACCGATACATTCTTTTTCTTCTTCAGTATTCAATTAGGCTTCTGCAAATGCAATAAAATGCTGTAAAATTTCATTTTGCTAAATTATCCCCCCCAAAATGGCTTTTTTTCCTTACCATTTTCCTCAACAGAATAAAGCTCCTTCAAACTGCAGGATTATCACTTTCCATCAGTACATTTTTGAGTAACTTTTGTTATGTATTTTGGCAGCTCAAGAGATCTACATGATTATATTAGATTTGTAGATAAATATTAACTTTTTGCCTTGAAAAGAAACTTGCAAAACATCTGTGCAAAATTCTCATTAGTTTTTATAGAATTTGGGTGCTGAAGTTGTTCTCTTGGTCCCTTTTGGGGATCCAGCTGTGAAGGTAAGAGAGGCAAGAAGTATTAGGATGCAAGATGCAGATAGAAGTAATGAGTCGGAGCGCTCTGTAGATATAGAGGGGCTTTTGCTCATGAATATTTTGAGACTACTGGGTGTTTGAAATAAAAGGCAAAAGCAGGAGAATAATGAAAAACGTGAAAGAAAAGGAGTGCTTAAAAAGCAGTGAGGGAGTGGATGAAGAGAAGAATGGTGTAGACAGAGCTACAACAAAATTCTGGGTTGAAGATGCTCTCAAAAGAATTAAAGGCTTGATTTCAATGTAGCTGATACAGTTAAAGCACCAAAAGAAAGACGAAAGGCTTTAGCAGCAAAACCTCAGAGAAGATCTGAAATTCATTCTTTTGTCATTGTGGGAGTGTTGTTGAGAGAAACTTATATTAAATCTTGTACGAGAAGAAAATGTTCCTTCTGTTTAATGTCTGTTAGTTTTTCTTCCTTCTTCTGGAATTGCGGAGTATAATGCTTTCCAAGGGTAAAAAGGTATTCTACTAATTTCTGTTACTCCGTCATTACTGTCTTCATTTAAAATGCATGTTTTTATTTTTCTGAGGGAATGTCCTTGTTTAGCCAGGAAGAATAGCCTGTTGTTAGCATTACATAATTGTATTGAGTAGCTCTCCAAGGATTCTTTAAGGGGAAACAAAAGTCACTATTCATTTAAGATTAAATGTGTCTTTAATTGAGAACAGTGGCGTGCTACTGTTTCTAGAGTGCTTTCCTAGCAAAGCTCTACTTCTGAAATCTGTATATCCAGTGCTGTTTTGTGTGATCATGTTAACAGTTTTGAGTATCAGAAACATTCTGAAGCTTAGGACAGAGGTGTCTAGGGGAAAATGGCCTTGTGCAGCAACTTTGTAGCCTTGGGCTGTTCAATTGGTGACCAACTAAGTGTGTCAAATTGAAGTTTGTTTAGGTAGAAATGTAATGAAAGCCAAGAGTTGAGCTCAAATCGATTTGTTTCCTTTAACAAGGGTGGAGTACATTTTTAGTCAGGGTTGATATTTTCTCAGCGTCAGTAAAAGCAGCATTTCAGGCTTTTCCTGCGTTGTAGAAGTTGTCTCAGATCTGCCAGACTAGTAGCACTGGATTCTGCAGCTGCTTCACAAATGAGATTTCCGCAAACTTAACTGAGTTTCGTGCCTCGAGCAGTTGCAGATTTGGACTTACCCTGTTTCTGTAAGACAGGTAATTAGAATATCCTTGTCTCTTAAACCGTGTGAAAATTCATTAGGAACTCAGTCTGCTTTGTGTCTTCTTAATATGTGTGCTTGACTGTTATTCTCAGCACAATGTTTCTGGGTTTGGTGGGTTTTTTGTTTGGCTTTGGGGTTTTGTTTTGTTTGGGGTTTTTTTTGTTTAAGTTGCTATTACTAGACTTGTTTTTCATTTTTCTCTTATCTGATGCTTTTTTCATGTACAATATTTTTTCCAACTTGTTCTTTAAACCAGAAACCCACCTGAAATTGGAATAAGAAAACACTAGAAGAGTGTATGTGTGTTTTAACTTGCTTGATTAGAGACAGATGTCTGTTATGGTTAGAGCCATCCTGGAGTCAAGCCCTCATGTTTAAATGCAGAAATAAATAAAAAGAAAAACACACTGTTGGGAAGTCAAACTAAACTATGTACAGGACTTTTTATTTCTAGTAGGTGATACTCATTAGTCTTATGCCTGTTTTTTAACAATTGGAAGTATTTGTATTTTCTTGTCAAGTCACAGCACCGTACTTTTTTTTTTTTCTCCAGTAGTTGGTATAATTTGGTTTCAGTTGAAGAATGTACCCAGGGTACATGATATCCATGCTCTCTTTGTGCTACTGCTGCTGTTATTTAAAATACGGGTACAGCAGTAAGCTAGAAATACCCACTGCTCTAAAGTTGCCTAAGCAGTCCTCTGTCATGTTAATACCTTGCAACTGCAGAAGCCCTGTAGTTGGGCTGATGTTTTTCAGACACAGTCTTTGCTTGAAAAAAAACATGCTTCAGTTTTTTGTGGGTTTGGTTTGGTTTGGGTGTTTTTGATTGTTTGCTCGTTTTTATCCTTTGGTGTGGTTTGATGTTTTTGGTTTGGTTTGGTTTGGTTTTTTAATAAGCAGGGGCTGCAGTGAGACAGCTCTTCCTGTGTTTGAGAGCAAGAGAATTTCAGAACAATAATTAGTTTTATTCTTCATGTACTGTGATACTTTGAGAAGCTAAACATAATTTCTGTTGTGCTAAACACTGCATTAATGTGAACTAAAAATTAATCTTTACTAGCAAAAAAATCTACATCCAAATACGATTGTAGGATGGAAGGCACAAAAAAATCATGAGACTAGTTTGGTATGATTGACACAGATCTTGATATACCTAATGGCTAGCCGTGACCTAATTTTTTGAAGCATCATGGCAAAGGCAAATAACCAGCTCTAAAATTATTTTTAGAAGACTGTTGACAAAAAATTCTTAAATAGCTTTTGGTGAGAACTCATTTGGACTCTTTGAGTAGTGTCTTATTGGTAGCTATAACTTATGAGCATTTCTTTGAGGAGGGAGAATTAAGTATTGCTTATACCTAAAGAATGCTAGCTGGAGTTTTAACATCTCTGTCAACAGCCAGCATGTAGCTTGCAGGTGGACAGACAGAGTTGTAGTGAAATGTATTTTGTGATGGAGAATTCTGACTGCAGTTGTGTAACTGCACTTGCAAATGATACAGAGTGGATCTTCTCCTGACAGGGCAGTTTTTAATGCCCTGAACTTTTTCTAATGAATTAGTTTCAGGTTACATGTGCTTTTGTGGACTTAAGATCACTAATATGTTTCTACTGGAAATGAGCTGCTCCCAGTGACGATGGAACATAGGAATTGCTGTGCCCTGATCTAATGTGCTGCTGTTGGCAAATGGCAGCACAGAGTAGCTGTTCCAGTGGAGGAAACCCACCAGTGGCAGTTGGGGAATAATCTGCTGCCTCCATCCCCCTTACTTCCCAAATCTCCAAATCAGATGTTTGGAAGGCTTTTTTTTTTTTTTTCAGTGTTTGTCTTCATTGCAGTGGTTGGTTGATACGGCTAAGTCTGTCATTTTGCTGTGAGGTTTGGGTATTTTGGGTATTAAAACCTCACCTGGAATACTGTGTACAGCTTTGAAGTCCCAACACAAAAAGAACATTGAAGTGCTGGAGTGGGTCCAGAAGAGGGCCACAAAGATGATCCATGGACTGGAGCACCTCTCCTAGGAAGACAGGCTGAGAGAGTTGAAGCTGTTCAGCCTGGATAAGAGAAGGCGCTGGGGGGACTTTATAGCAACCTTCCAATACCTGAAAGGTGCCTATAAGAAAGCTGGGGAAGAGCTGTTCACTGGGGCAGGTAGTGATAGGATGAGGGGTAATGCCTTTAAACTAGAAAAGGGTAGATTTAGGTTGGATACTAGGAAAAAGTTTTTCAGTATGAGGGTGGTAGATCACTTGAACAGGTTGCCCAGAGAGGTGGTGGAGACCCCATCCCTGGAGATATTCAAGGTCAGGCTTGATGAGGCTCTGAGCAACCTGATCTGGTAACATTGTCCCTGCTTACTGCAGGGGGCTGGACCAGATGATCTTTAAAGGTCTCTTCCAGTCCAATACATTCTATGATTCTATGATTTTTCAGTCCTTCTGAACTCTGGACTTCTCTTCTGTCTTTGGTAGTGAGTTCCCTAGAATAGTTACAGCTGTAGTAAGAAAGGTGCTACCTTGAATCTGCTGTTCATCACCTTGTAATTTCCCTGTTTCTTTAGGGGTGCTTGGTATGGCTTCCCATGTAGATGTTTTTATGGTGTCCTTGAACCTATAGAAGCCCAAGAAGCAGCTTCGCATAGAAATTCAGTACTTGACAAATGTTAATTTATACCCCATAAGCCCTTGTTAGGGATAAAGTGCTTATCTTTGTGTTAAAACAGCTGGGCTTTTTTCATTCTCAAAAGTTGACTAGCCACAGACTTACTAGTGCTTGAACAAGGCCCTTATGTCTGACTTTCTTACTTGAGTAAATGGGTATTATTAAATTTATTTTTTTTTTTGGTACCAGCTTGTGGATGGCTTATCTGATATAAGGCTTCGTCATTATGCACACATAATGCACACAAAATTAACTGGCTTTGAAAGTTAGCCTCAGCCAGATTTAGTGCATTACTGGCATTTTGCTCAGTGTGCTTGCAAAACTGGGTGCTAGAGGCTTTAAATCTTATTTTCTGAGGGCTCTTTTAGAGGGAGAGTCTGTGTCTTCATTTCTAAAATATATGTGGTATTTTAGTGTACTATTAAACTTGCATATAGATATCTTTCAAGATAAATGGTGGTGAAAAAGAAATTGACTTCCTGGAGGACTGGTGCTTATTTGTTTGAATATAACTAACTAGATTTTTTTTTTCTGCTGATTGAAAAAAAGCTTCTTTACCGCATGGAAGCAATTGTGAATGCAGTTTGCAAAACAAACTGATTATAAAAAACAATTATTAGACTAATTGGTCATTAAGTTTTGAAGCTTAAAATCAGGCTTAGTGGGGATGGCCTCACAACCTTAATTACTTAATAGTGTGTTTAACGTACGTTAGTAAGACCATTTCAATTACTGCTGTCACTATAGTGAGAGATGCCAACAATACCTGTTGAATAGTACATATTACAGAATTTCATTTAACAAAGTCCTCATATGTAAGCAGTATTAATGGGAATGCTAGTATTTGCCTTTCCCAGCTGTCAATATCTCCACCTGTTTTTTTTTCCTCTCCTCTTTCGTCTTCATGTTTCTGGATTTTCTATACCTCTTCTCCCATCTCCTGCTATGCCAATAATTTTTTTTGTTTGCTTGATGTGATCTTCTTTTGTCTCTCTATGCTTTTGATGAATGACTAATGGTGACTTTACCCTCTTTTATTAGCCTGTATTTCACTCCTTGCTCTTCTAGAAAGTAATGAAGTCCATTTTTGGTTAGTAAGAGGAAAGAACCTGACTACTGAAGCAGCACACACATCAGACACATCAGTCTTTCTGATGGACTCCTAAGCTAAAAGGGACGAGCTCTGATTACAGTGTGTTTTCACTTGCCTAGATTTTATTTTGCCTTCAAAAAGAGGTAGGGAAGTTGGAGGGACAGATGAAACAGGAAATGAGAAAGACTGAAAGGGGAATATGGGTGACAGTGGAAGGAAGAAATAAAAGGAGGAAGGGAAAGTTATATTTGGGAAAGAAGGGAATAGGTAAAGTTTTAGTTGATAAACTTTAGAGTTTATTTGAATTCTGTCTTAGTCGGTTTGAGAACAGGCGTGTGCAAATCCAGTACTGTTGCCGTACCAGTGGCAGATTGGCATCTTGGTATACTGTGGATCTTACATTCAGGCTGAATATGGAAATAGGGATCTATACAGAGGAGAGGGCATGAAGGTGTTTTCTGTGCTGCTTGTTTCTCTCTAGCACAGATGAATCAGTATTTTCATTTGCCTTTCATCAAAATATGGGTTTTTTAAGAATAAAAGTGTAAATGCAAAGTATGCATTTACACATTTACTCCTTACTCACAACCCTTAATAAGAACAAATATTAATATTATTAATATTCAAGTGTACTTAAAAGAGTTATCAAAATTGTCAGTCAAAGAAGCATTAACGTTGCTAGTAGATCTTTATCGTGTGCACTTCTACAACACAAAAACCTTACAGCCCCTCACAGATTTAGGGGAAACTGACTGCTGCTTGTATTAGTGAGTGGTCTTTTTGCAATAGTGAAAGCTTTTCAGAATTTCTTCTAAATACTGTACACGGTTGCAGAATAAGCTATTGTGAAATAAATCTAGTTGTGAGCTGGCTCTGGAATAATTACTTCATTTACAAATAACTGTTCTGGAGCAATTAGTTGGTATTATACTTTGCAGCTCTGCAATAATCTCCTTTTTATTTCCAGTATACAGCTAACCATAGTGCTTCAATCTCTTGTAGCTGAAGTGGAATATAGAGTGAACTGAAGCTTCAGCAGGGATGAAATAAACATTGCACATTTATGTAAGAGAGCTGAGCATATGTGCTAGGAGTAGCTGGATGAATATGTTGGCACTTTGCTTGTATGAGAGATTATTTCAAATTCCAAGGGAAATTTAAATCTTTTTTCATGGATGGGGAAGGAACAGTTAATTACTTCTATGATTTTGAACTCAGTTTGGGA